CCATAACACAGCAGTTTATATGATAAATATATTTTTTCACGTGTGCTTGATATCGCTAATCAGTTGCTGACACGTCACTCACCTTTCGCACCACTCGGTCAGGTTTGAACGGCAAAGCCTTCACGATTCTCAATTCAAGGTAGTTTGTTGGGACTTCCTCAGATGATGGCGGCTAGATCATTGAAAAATCCGTATTGCTCAGAGGCAGTGACGTTCAAACTCTCCAAGAAAGTGAAGAAAACCAATATACGAAAAGAAAAACCCAAAGTTACATATTCGGTGGCTTTGGTTATGGCATTTCTCGCGGCTAACAATGAAAATCGACAGCTGGAAGATTTGCCGCAGGCCGACTTTGGCCGTTTTCCTGAAAGACTTCTTCTGTCGGTAAGGACAAAGTCAATAAATGGAGTTTTATAAATTGAAAATTACGCCCATTGTTGTTTTTGTATTCATGATTCAACGCATATTTCCATGTAGAGCATTAGCGCCAACGCACTGTACGATCGGCGGATTCTTTTATTTTCGTTCATTAATGAAGACGGCTTTTCTTGTCACTAAAGGGCTATTAATTGTGTTTATATGATAAATAAAATAATACATGGTTGCTTCAAGACATGGAATTCCTCTCCTCGTGTTCACCTCGACATCCCACTCGTTCACTGCGCTTATTCGTGAGCTATCGAGTTGATCACTCGAAGAGAAATTCCATATCTACGCGCGCCCATGTATTATTCTCTACACTTATTTTGCAGTTTGAAAACATATTATATATACATAAATATATTTTGTTTCTCATCCTAAAGGTGATGAACGACGCATGTATATTTCACATTAAACGAAAAATACCTTTTTTGTTATCGTTTGAGAGTTACTGTGCATGTTAATTTCAAGGGTGAATTTTAAGCAAATTAAAATAAAGCCGCCGGTTTATTATCTTTTCGTTCATTAATTCCCGTGATGCCTGCCACATACAGCTCTTAAAGAGCTATACTTTGTCGAGAGTAAAAGTGACAGACCAATAGCGCGGCAGTTAAAAATGTCGATTTCAACAATATCATACACGCCCAGCAAGAATTGGAAAACTCGACAACAGTAAGTTGCTTTCTAAAGCCCAGCTTCTTT